AGGCACGAATATTTTCAGTACGTCATAGTGGTCAGGAGCGAAGTATCACCTCATTAGTTTACGTGATGAATTCGGACACGTTTGCTCGTATTGGCAATCGATGCTCATTGCGGACATTCTCATTGGCTGTGAGTTGCTTGTGCACAAATCCAATTGGTCGACTGACGTGCATCGACTACGTGTGACATTTTTGATCATATTGTTGGTGAATAATCGATTTACGTCTTCCTAGTCGTCTTTGTGATTACGTTTTGCATATGTCAGCGAAGAATGAGTCTGGAATGTGGTTGCATCTGTGGAACTGGAGTTCTGCAACTAACTGAGCGTGAGATCTTGAAGGCATTGGATAGTGCAGTCTACCGCTATCCACCGCTCATTACGTCCGACAACTTGTTTCTTAAGCACCCAACGCCGGTAGTTGTGCTGCGGTTGCACGTACACGTAAAGCTGTCATCTCTTATTAACTCGTGTGCTTTTCAACGACTCAAAGGTTTCTGCATACATGTCTAATGTCCGGACAATTCTGAAAGCTTTCAATAACAGTACAAAAACACCCATGGTGGAAGTACGGCTGCGGCTTGGGGTGCGCAATTTTAAGTAGCTGAAAAGCACACGAGGTAATAAAAGATGGCAGCTTTAGGTTATGATTTGGGCCAAAAACTCGACTGACTTAGGTCAATTACTTGCTTGTGTTAAGAAAACTCCTAATTGTTACATAACTATGCATATTAACTACGAGGCCTGTATCTCTATGAGTGTTGAAGCGTAGATCGCGTGTTCAAAGTTACCACCTTTGCTGTTTAACGGCAAACCCCCACTTGGTGTGTATATCATAGCGCTTGTTTAAATGAGCAAATTCAAGACAATCAGGGTGTAGATGAAAGTTTCAAACTTTGTCTGAATTCACTAGGTCATTTTCGTATGTATGAACATCACTCATAATGACGTTTGTCGTCATCGGTTTTCGATTTCCAAGATGGCGCAGGTGTTTAGTGGTAAAAAATATCCACTCAATGAAATTAAAATAAAAAACAGCACTGATAATGAGCACAATCTGCAAAATTGTCAACAGTAAAACGTCTCTAGGAGTCCCATCAAACCCAAAAGACCTATCAGCGCAGAGATTTACACAATTCAAGTGTTCTGTTCACTCCCACAAAACCAACACTCGGTATTGCAAAATGCAGCTCAGAAGGCGTCCACACACCTTAAATACCGTACTCTCGATTGGTTAAAACGAATCATTAAAAAATACGACCAGGACCGGAGTGTAGAACCATTTGAAGTGACTCAGACCAATGTTAGTCACTGGTCGTACAATTAAATTGTAAGTAATGGCGTTCGTGACGTTCATCTGAGTACGAGAAATTAGATTGTGATAAGGACACCATGGACGGAGGGAAATGGACAAAAATCTCAGCCTAAAATTTGGCGTTTAAACTACCTGGTAAAAAAGTTCGTTTCTGCAATGAAATAGGCATAATTTGGAGTCACTGAGGGAAGAATATTCCCCTCCTTTAGTGGTTATGAGACTTCGACTTAGGGGGTCAAGGCAGTTTAGCTGGGGAGCAACTGTCCGGCCAATGTTCCCAGGGTATGCCTTAGACACCCTTTCTGGTTATGCCGCGGTTACACGTACTAAAAAACCACCAATTGTCGCGTGCACCACCCTATACACCCGCGCCGGGCTTTTATTGCCACAACAAGGGGAGAAGGGAGTGCCGCAAAGTATGACTCATCACGAGCCATTTACTACTTCGAATTGTCCGTTTGGTTTAAATGGCCGGTTTTATTGCTGTGCCACACCACCTCGGCAAGCAGAACACGACTTTTTTAACGAGGAGAGGGTCCGGGTATATCGGAAGCAGGAACACGAAGTGTGTGTGTGTGTGTGTGCAGTCAGTCAACGTGACGTTTTGACTTTGAATGAGCACAAGCAGTCGCGAAGCGACCAACCCGCACACCTGGGTGTTTGCACGCAATGGCGGCTCACGCGAAGAGGGCAAACACGAACTTTGAACGACCGCCGCGCTTAGGCGAAGTGATTTAAACAACACCGTTAACGGACTGCACTCTCGGGAGAAGCGACGTTTCAGGGGGGAAGAAATTTGCCTCAGAAGTCGTGACTACATAAAAGGAAGGAATTTAAATTTTTGGGGAAAAAGTATGCGTAAAATTAGACTGAATGCGAGTGTCCGAGACGTCGCAAAAAGGGCGTCATGCTGAAAGTTGTTTTCGACAAGGAGTAGCTGACATTTCACAAGAAAACTATGTGAAGGAGACTGCAAAAAGAAGTGGCGGAAAGGAAAGCGGGAAGAAAATTTGACACTAATAAAATGTTCCACAGAGCATAAGACATTGGTAGGAACTAAATTTTCGTGTTAGGTCGTCGTTGCTTTTGAAACCGCTTGGCAGACTTTATTTAATCAAAACCATCCATGCGTTTTGGCAGGCGATAGGGGCAAAGTACACCGTTACGAATACGCGACCCACAACCACAAGAAAGTCTTTCTCTGGTCTCGGGAAAGCACTAGAAGGAGTACAGTTCTCTAATTCATAGCCTTTTTGATTAGAGCACGAGATTTCTTAGGTTGAGTTGCATCTGAACTAGAGTATGAATGTAGAAAGTGATTCCTTTCGTGTAAGCTTTCAAAAGCAGATTCAAGCAGATTTCAGTGATCCGTGGAGCCTTCAAAAACCCTTGGAATCGTATGCCATCTGGTTCGACACTTGTATTACAAATATTACCTTTCGAATCAGTTCGCGGACATAACTTGATTACTTTCTTCCCTCAGAGGTTTGCAGTTAATACTTCTAAAGCGTGATGGTAGAAACGCCAACTCTATTGGAAGCCACAAAAACTGCTATTGGTTCACAATTTGCGGCAACCGCGCACACACATGACTGCGGTTTCATGGACCACTGGTGACCTCACAACGTCGTCATTATACTGTTGGCAATCAGTACGCCTACTCGAACTGTATGCAACTAATTTGGCGAATGTTTTCACGAGACATCAACCCACGTGAATTTGATTGGTTGACACCTTACAAAGTGAATTCCGCTCATTGGTTTGAATGTCCGTTGATCCAATCAATGCCGACCTCTCGTCACACAAAAGGAAGCCCGTTCTTCTCCCCCGGGATACTCAGGGTCGTATTCTGTCTGGTGTAGGCGGTTGGCTCCAACATGTGAGCTTTTACAGAGCTGGCGAGGACTAAATACAAAGCTATTTCTGGGGGGTTTGATCGTTGCGAAATCGCTTGTGCTCGCCATAAACGAGTGACAACTTCAAGGAAACACCAAGAGTGCGTCAGCAAGTGCTCTAAGACACTAGATGGACGCACTGTTTGGAACCATCACTGAATGACATAAACAAGTAGCTAAGCGCCAGTAGAAAACTCAATTTGTACATCTTTGTCGCCATCAATGTCTTTTGCACTGCTGTACTAAAACACAGGCGCTGTAGTTTAGCCCAGTTATGGTGTTAGATTAATTGATAATTTTGTGTCTCAACAAGGCTCTGGAGTGTCAATTTTCTTCACTTTAGAGAAGAAGTGACCAGTGTTTACTGAAACAAACCGGACGGCTGAACAGATCTGGCATTCGAGTACAAATGTCTTTGCTACAGATCTTTCCACACTTATTCAACCGAAGAAAGAGAAGCAATAACGTGTATCTGATCCCTTTGCAGAATAACCAACTTACAATAAGACGGTTCTAGTCGGACATGGAAAGCGGGAATTGATGTTGGAAGACATACCCACTCATCCAAGGTTACTATTATCTTCTTTTTTTACAACTAGGAAAGTTTGAAACAACAAAATTCTACCCCAAGCACATACACTTATGCCCTTAGCACTTGACAGTCTGCTAAAAACACGTCGTTACTTACTTAGTAGACACGAGTTTAGCCAGCGGGAAAAAAGTTGCACACCAATTGTAATTATATTTTGCCTACCAAGCAAACTGGGCCATCCGTCTTTAATTTCTGCTTCGACGCAATTTACTGAAGTTGAATACACATCGGACTTCATTGCAGAGATTCAAAGCTGGTTTAACTGACAGTTTTATTTGGTTTTGGAAAAAAGGAATTAGGGGGAAGAGAGATAAGGGCTTTAAGAGAAACGAAAGCTTTGTTCCCAGAGAGAAAACTACAGTTATATCACTTAATGAGAAAAAGATTTAGCTTCCCAAACTCCTTCACATCACTGCTTGCTTGTTGCCGCTCATTAAACTGAAACTGCCCGTTTTTGCAATCAAATTGACAGAAATTTATAGAAGTTAAATCCTTAGTAATAAATCCCAAATCAAAATTAGTAGCTTGACATTCGTTGAACCACATCACGTGCTCTTTAAATGCCTTGAAGTGAAACGATCTATCTCTGTCGGATGTCCTATTCGTTGATTGGTTATCGTCTCTGTCCCATCATAAACTGCCGACTCGATCAGCAACAGTATTTACGAGTGGAGCAGATTGTTTCAAAATGTTTTGTAATGTCTAACAAAGTTGACAAAAATCAGTTGCGCACAAACGCTATTCTCATTGGTCAAGAGTTATTTGGCCTTAAATTTGATTGGTTGGCTGTTGTATGTCGACTCTGGTGCTCTACAACCTTGAGACAGTCTGAACAAACACTTGCGTCTGTCAGGTCATGACATCATTTAACGATAATCTCTGCGGCAGGGTTACCTGGCTGTGAGGAGACGAAAGCTGCAAAAATGATTTCACCAGAATTCAGCGGAAAGCATGCCACGCAAATACAGTCGAACATAATGAAACCAAAAACACTATCGCTGTCGGGAAAGTGTAAGACCACAGAGCACAGGAAGGGTGTCTCACTAGCGAATAACGTCTTCCAACTCACAAAAACACACCAAGGAGAACAGATTTGCTAAATTCACATCAGACAGAGTGTTTTGCATTGTCAGCTGATCGGACACATCCCAATCACTACGGGGTGTGAGTTACAGAAACAATTAGTTAATTTATGCACCCGACTCTCATCACATGTTGATAAATATGACCTAGGCAACATGATCTCTGCACAGGATAGCAACGGAAGACACTCGACTGTCTCACAAACCAACCTTGAGATCTTTGCTGCTCATAATGTAGACCAAACCGACGGCAAACGTTCCAGACCGCGTTGGCACACATCGACATTCATAGTATTTCCCGCCAATCCAATGCGTTTGGCAGTTGTGCGAGGCAAACGAGTTGCTAAAGCAGAGAAATATGTCGTTTTGCCATCGTATCATCCGAACTTCGTCACATAAGTAGCCAATTAATTAACCAGCAAATGAGGCCGGCAGATGATAGGTCAATTGCTTCAAAGTCAGAGTAAGGAGATTTTAACACCAATAGACGAAAACCAGATATCAGGGTAATACCTGAGTGCAGACTCAGGCAGCGAGGTAAAATGACCTGGCAAAAGTGAACTTTTGAGGTTGCAGATCTCCACTCCCCCCACTTGACCTGTTTACGCTAAAGTTCAAATGCTGTGGAATCCGCTAATCGCAGAGGCATCCCGGGCTTCGTAAATAGTGGCCACAGGTAATTTTGGTTTAGTATACTGTGGCGCCTGAGCCGTGACCTTACAGGTCCCTCCTAATCGTGACCCCATTTGGAGACAGGCCATTAAATACCACTAAATTTGGGCATTAGAAAAACTCAAGATTTTCCCTAATGTGTCGAAATTTCGCACTCCTTTTTTATGCAAATATTAAGAATTATGGGCACTACAATTTTGTAACTAAGCTGCTAATGGAAACATGAGCCCCATTTGACCCTAAATTTGTCTAAATGCATCTCACAAATTACTCTGGTGCAGTTTAAGATTACATTTATGTGTTTTAAGGGATTGGTGTCAGGGGGCGTTAGCCGGTTAAATGATGGTTTTTATTCCCAGTCCCTACAACTGATCTGACATGTGCATTGCGCAGTGCAGTTGCTTCAGTATGTTTGTTTGTTTGATGCATTTGGCGCTTGGTTTGCATTTAAACAAGTTCCAACATTAAAAAGGTTGAGAGTTGGCGAGGACAAAGATCTCCTGGATCTTTCACAATTGGCCAGGAAGGTAGAGGGTACGAGGCACAACCCCTGCACAGCGTCTAAGTTGGTTTTGCAGAGAACTGGGTTGACGCGTGGCCCACACACCAAGTTGCACGAACACCACTAAGTTGCGGGTGATTGGTGCATTTTGCCATCAGTGTGAGTCTAAGCAAGTGTGAGCTTCGACGTGGAAAAACAACCTTTATTTTTTAACAAGCATCCCTGGCTGTGGGAGCCAACGCATCGTGTTTTTGGTCCAATTACGGCCTTGTTTATCGCCTAACCTTTTTTTAGCTCAAATTACACAGTTAGGGTGAGGGAAAATTGAGCCTAGTAGACGCGCTAGTGGTGTGACACCATGACAACTAACTTCATTCGTCTTTGTCTGAATTTACTGACAAGAGCATTGGGCTGTCGAGTTAGAAGGCCATAAGGAGAGCTCATTAGTTTACTCGTTTAAATAAAATATTTGAGCCAAATTACTCAACTTGTAACTTACTCAATTCAGCGAAAACAACAAAGAATCATATTTGGGAGATCGGCTAAAAGTTTTTCAGGTAAAAATTGTGGAATTTGACAACGAATAACAGCCCTCATCGCGACAACTGAAAAACCGCCAATCACAGGAGTGAAAAGTTACGTTGATTGACTAGTGGTTAAGAGCCCTAGTTTGAGGCAGTTCTGATTGGTCATTGGTGAGAGATTGTCTTAGAGAACTCAAAATGTCACTTATATGGCACCCAGACAATGTAAGTGCAACACATAGGATTGGACAAGCCAAAACACTACTCCTGCGGAACGGCACCTCAATCGACTAATGATTGGCCTAGCCTTACTTGTGACATTTGACCTTGAAATGTAGTCCCTGATTGGGCAGCGGATGCGAAGAGGTTAAGAGAGAAAGAGCTTACTCTTGGTAATTTAGCATGTCCCAGATCCGGCAAGTGACGTCCAGTTGATGCTCCTGAAAACAGAGAGGAGAGACGTGAGTGCGCGTACCTCTGACCAGCTCAAAACTAACTGTGTTTCACTATCTTTTGATTGAAACAAAAGTGAACAACTAGGCACTCACGCAGTAAATGGCGTCACGTTAAATCACAAACCTCTGACTAACGAGGTCCCCAAGTAGTCATGGTAACGTGTTTACGTGCGGCACACCAAGAACTAATTTGATTGGGGCATTAACATCTTGTCCGCAACTTAACTGAGTGAGCCGAGGGTTGGAAGCTATGAGACTCCTGTTTCAGAACGTTACAAAAGGCTGCTTGTCGTTGCAGTTCCAAGTGGGCCAAATAACCAAGACATTTGACCAATGAAAAGCTCTTTTGCGTGGAGGCATTTTTAACCTCACTTACCTCCTTAGATGCCATCCTTAGCCGAAAGTGGCTTATGAGCTTCGAAGAGTGAATTATGTAGACATCAGAGTCCAAATTGGCAAAATCGGCCTCGGCAGGCAGGGACCCACTTAGAGAGGCATTGACTCCCCCAGTCAAATTTGACCGCTTCAAAAAGGGCTCCAATTTCTTCGCGGGAATGGTCACCACTAGCGCAGTTCCCAGGTCTTGGAATAATGCAATGAGAAAGTTAGCCGCGAGGAAGGATTTGCACCGCAACCAAACAATAAGCCCTTGTTTGAAATGACATATCCGGAACGCGCCACTTTAAATTGTTTACGGGTAAAACAATACCAGAAATTGAATGAGAGATATCCAGCACGCCAAAAACCGACTTTTATCTGAAGAATTGTTAAGTTTTTCAGTTAGACAGGAAAAGTTAGGTGGAGATTTCCTGTGTCTGCAAGCAAACGCGCCGATTTTTACCGGAAATCTATCCTTTAGGGCTTCTTATGATCATTAGGAGAAGAATGTAGGATTAAGAGGGGCACATAAAATGCGGTTTCAAAATCACCAATCTACACCACACAGTGATTGGTTCAAAAGTTTTCCACAGTTTTGAATTTGCCTCATTTAGTAATCAAGCGAAACAAAATCTAACAACCGTTCATCCGCGTGAGGTTTGGGAGACTTCTGTTTAAGCGGAATTAAGTGGGCGGAAGGCAATTTGATTGATGGAAAATTAAAGAGCCAAATTTTTTTCGTCGTGTCTTGTCTGCCCGCACACACACCTCCACGTAGATCTAGTGCGGTTCGCAAGATATGACTAGTCGCGTTTATTTTTAAATCAAATGACCACATTTGGCCAATACAAAATGACCTTGAACTGGCCTCAAGAGGATGGTCTTGATTGGACGATCCCAGTGCGTTTTGTCAGAAATATCACGCACTTTGGACACTGCACGCACCGATCATTAACCGACATTGGCTAGGGCTGTAAAGAGGGTTTTCGTAATGCAACTTTAATGCAGATTTTTTCTGCAGAGGTGTGTACAAAGGTATTGCACGTTCGTGACTTGGCATACACTGACTTTGGAGCAACTGAGACACTATTGGCACAGAAGGAATATGTCAGAAATGGACACGTGGCAATCCATGGACCTCATTATGAATCTGAATTTGAATTGTTTTCGGGCGGAAAAATATTCACGACAAAAAGTACACGGCTCTTTATGCATGCAGAAATATGCCATGCACACGAATACGCGTGTGTCCAGTTAGTACTGCTGAAGCTCTGCCTTCGCTTGCATAATACAGGGTGTTATTTTGAACAAGGCGTAACGCTTTTAACACCTTGCGTCGAGGGTCCATATCACGCGACTCTACGATTTGTAGAAATTTTACACAAAGAAAATTTTATGAAAAAAGTATAGTGGATCGAACAATTTAATATGGTTGTCGTTCAACAGTTTGGTGGCGGATGCGAACTCAACTCAATGCAAGGTATTGACTTGGCAAAGTATCGTCGGTGTTTGGATACTTTAATTTACCACTTTCACATGAGTGTCCGCACATTCGTAGAGCATCAAGAGTTGGTAATAGTAATTGCATTGCCTAATCGCCGATGTCTACGCAAATCAAAAATAGCAGTGGGGCGTTAGAGAGGGAGACCGCAACTTACCGGACGTATTTGAGAACGAGGTGACAACTATTGAGTCATTCAGCAGTTGATTTGGTTCCTGGCTTGCTCGGATGCGCTAAAAGGCAAAAACTGCGTGTGATATCTTGTGTCCATAATTAAAACACGGCTTCCCATTTTCGTGAATTCCGAGATCTGATGAAGTAGTGTTATCTTTGATTCCTTAAAAAATCTCTGAATGTGTCCCTCAAGCATCTCAGTTTGGCGGTGTAATGGCTTTACATGACAAAGCCAGTGAAAATCACGCATTTCGGACAGTAGTTTGCCAAGACACATTAACAAATGGCTAAGCCTCTAAAATACTTGTGCGAATCGATAAAATAAGCTATCTGATCACCTCATCACAATTTTCTAATGCGAATCAAGCATTGGTGAAAATTTCGACTCTGATAAACGCATCCGTTAAATTTTTCAGCCACTAGTAAAACATCCGAACCTCACGTGCTACCGAAATAATTGCAGGGACCTAATCATTAGGAAATGCTATTAATCAAAAGCGAATTTTTTCATCTTCGTCTAAAGTTGAAATTTAAAAGAAGTTTTCAATTAAGGTGTCTGGAATTTGACCACTTGATAAATTTGAACTTGCAGTTGTGAAATATTTAGAAATCGCAGAAGTTGAAACAACAGAGAGATTGTCGATACGAGGAACAGGGCATTTCGGAACAGTAATAATTTACTGCCTGTTTCTGGAACAACGGGACAGTCGACACAGACCTCTAGGTTCAACAAGTGTGTGGATGTGACAAAGCAATCCGGAATTAAGAGGACTCCGTCGATGTCATGGCGTCTGTTGGCAACACGTTAACACTCGACTTCACACTGCCAAGACGACAAACTGCCGCCCAAACTCTCAAATGCCAAATTATGAAAATTCCGCCATCGGAAATCAATCTTTTTCAATTACGGTTTTGAGATGTGAATTCAAACGCTTTATTGAGATTTTGACAGCAAACCTCCTTACTAAAGTGATTTCTCCCCACCTCTAACGCCCCAATCCTTCAACGTGGACATACAAATACTACTGAAATCAACCCAAGATCAAGCTAGATTGGGTCTGAATGACCAAAATATCCGGACTAATGGTGTCGATTAAATCATATATAATACGGTGCTGGCAATTAAAAAGTTGCAAGTGCCATGAGCTTAGGCACTTTCTGGAAAGAGACACAACGACAAATATCTGATTGTTTGATGGGTTATTTAACACTTTTAGAAATATTTATATTTACACAATTCTAGCAAAAAAGTGGTGTTGAGTTATCGCTGGAACCATGATAGCAGGATGGTTACATAAGAATGCCAAATGCGACATTTAAATCCATTAATTTTCTTGTCTTTAATTAAGATGGAACAGAACAGAGACAGCTATGACAGCTGGGTAGTTAGTGCTCAAAGATTACAGACCTTTTGCTGTCAAAATGAGCATATTTTGTCTCTGCCAGGCTGAGACCTGCAGTACTTGAGATCTAGTTTAGATCATGGCAGTTGAAAAAAGCCACGCGGGCAGAGATTCCACTAAAAGCTTACTCGAAGCTCCAAACCGCTCCGGTGGATGACGAATTCCTCGGCCACCTGTTTGTCCACCTCCGGCCCGTCTTGTTCAGGGGAAAGCGCTGAGAAGACATTCAGCAGTGCCGACGCCGACCGCAGGACAAGCGACGCCGAAATTGACCGCGGCTGACTCGGTTTGGCCGGAGTCGAGGTGGCCGGATACGGCGCGGGCGAGTGCTGCGACTCCAGTGCCACCATTCTCTCCCTGTGCAAGTTTAGAAGCATGTCGACGGACTGAAGAAGGTTCTCTGAGCTGACGTCCTCCCGCGCTCTAGCAACGGAAAAATTCGCACATTGTAGACCTTGTACAAGATCTTGCTCAAACTCACCTTGTGGAATGGGAGTGGAGGTGAATAAGACGATGTTAAGGAGACAAAACCTTACCAAACAGATTGGTAGAGAATAGGATAGCTAAATTCCTTACTCAAATAGAGAATTTGGGGCCTGGAGGGAGTTACTTGTGATCCTTGAGAACGTATTGATCCATTGATCAGGGTCCTTGAAAAGCAATCCAGCGGAGTTCCGGACCAGGTACGTCAAGTTCTTGTCTGTAGACTTAACATTATATTTCATCGTCAGTTAGAGCGCAAACTTCAAGTAGGGCATAACTGAGGAGATGGCAACTCACGGCTTTGCGAAGCAGCAATCCAACGTCGATCGTTCCCTTCCCGTCCTGGATTTCGGCTGCAGAGCACGAAAAGTAACACTGGTCTAGCTTCAATTTATGGCACGTACAGAGCACTTTAGGCACGATGTATCAATAAACAGATTTAATTGCTAGTCTAACTAGTTGGCTGTTTGGTCGGTGCCACCAGTGTGGGTGAAGTGCAGGTACAAAACCTACTTAAAACCCTCATTTACACTCTGTGTCACTCAAAAGTCGTATTTCATCATCTGATCCCCAATTAAAACAACACTAGCAGGACAATCGCTCCAGCGGACCCTCGTCTTAGAGCTGTGCGCTTCCTCAGTGAACACGATTCAGTCGAGGTGGCGGATGGTTACAAGGAAACACAAGCTCCACGCTGAACCCACGGACGCAACCAAACAGCACGGAACACAGCCTGCTGTTTACGGGGGCTTTGGTTTTATTGCTTAGTCCACAGTGGTATATCATGTAAAAGCAGAAATTTGAGAGCCTGTAACAAAGTTTGGCGCTCCAGTGGTCAAGGCTGGGGATAAAACGCGCGTGTGTGTGTGTTTACATGCGGGGCGGGGCATTAAAGTGGAATATGCAAGAGTACACACGCGCCACACTTAATGCTGTTGCAGCATAAATTCGCAATAACACCACCGCAACTGCAGCAAACGTTGTGATTTACACGGCTGTGGAGTAACTTCAAATGAAAGCTACTGAAAATTTGTTAGAACAATTTGTTCGGGAAATTAACCTCTCGTGGATGTTTTTATTCCCCTCCGATATTTACTCAGGCGGCTACCTTGACAGTGCGATAGGTAAAATTGAGCGCGTACAGTGGCGAGAAATCGGCTACTTCTGCAAGCATAGGTTTCAAGTATTCAAGCGGGATCAACAGGTTGTAAACTAACTCCACAACCAGGCGAATATCCATTGAATTGGGGCACCTAGTTGAGCATTTGGATACGAAACAAGCTGTGTCGATCTGTGTTATCGATTAGTGCTAAAACGGTCCGAAACGTTTAGCCTCATTGGCTATGAATTTTGTGTTCGTTAATTCGATTGGTTGATCGTTGTACATTGGCTACAGGGGGCATATTCGAACCTAGCGCGGGTGAATAAACGGCTATGTCATTCTTTTTCACCGACCTCTTTGTAGTTAGGTTCGATGGAACGAAGTTGTAGGGGAATTTTCGCCTGTATTCAATCCACAAGGGAGTAGTTACACTATGCGGATAATTAACTTGTTTATGGAGACTCCATACCCAGTCTTCGAGGTATTGCACCACCTGCCAGGGCAATAAGCAAGTGGCTTTGTGACCGAGAAACGTGTGAAAAACATCTTTTTTTCCTAGGAAATATTTTCAGGCATGCGGTGGCTTTTTTGCGCGCACGTGTGTGTGTGTGTAGGCTAATATTCCCCTTTTATGAAGAAAAAACAGCCTGCATAGGATTAGTACATAGCATATCCGGTGCTTTGAGGTGGTGCGTGTGGTGAGTAACCTTCTTAGCACTTCGACAGACAAAAGCTGGCATGCTAGATAAAAACACACATTTGTTTAAGCAGATTTCCTGGAAAAATGACTCGAACAGAAGGTAATCTGTTTTTTTTCTGAACTAAGCCTCAGAAAGTTCCCCAGTTATCTGGGGAAGTTAGCACGAACGATCAGAAACCTACAAGTCACAGACTCATAGTAAAAAGTCCTGTAAAGCGAAAGGATGACGTGGAGGTATAAATTAGTACCAGACGTCTGAACCCCGCCTGGTCTGTCATCACAGAAGTAGTTGACACCTAGGCAAGGACTCATAAAGTGTTTGGCCTCTCTTCATGGTCAAACATTACAATGAATTCAGTCCCAAACTTCTACAGGAGATCTCAATTTACAAGGCTCTCTGAGTGAGCTCCGTTCACGGGGTGAGCGAATTCAAACTGGCGCTCATCGATCAAACCAGCCCAGTAAAACAGAGTCAGAAATGGAGAACAAACAATTTAATGTGCCTAGCAATACATTTTTTTTCTAAAAACAGCAGTCCCAAGTATTGACCTCAGTCAATACTTGGGATGTGAACAAGAAATTAATTTTTGAGGAATCGGAAAGCAAAAATTTGGTCATGTGTGCGTGTATGTACTTTTAAACCATTTATCTTAATCCTACGGAAGAACCACCAAATTTTAACCACATGTTGCCGATTTGCGTAGAAGGGATCCTAGGATTTCCGAATAAAGACGATAACTATCAGGGATTTCCGATGGAGAATTATCGATTCGAAAGGCGTGGAAATGCACAGTGTTGCGGAGTGGTTTCATTCACCTTTTACAACATGAAATGCATTTAACGGACTTCGGTGGTGGTTCAAGTGACAGTAGGATCAGTTCTAGAGAGATCGCGGCAAAAATTCGTGGTGCTTAAATGCCTGCGATCTATTGTGCCTTTATTAATGTTACAAAAGTTAGTTAACAACAGGAAGTAAGGGAATATATAACTGCAAATTTTAATCGAGAAATTCGCTAAAATTGTTGTGAAAAATTAGTTTCATGTGAAAATAGGGACGCTAATTTGCCCATTTACCTCTGGTGAAATTAAAAATAAACCACACCAAAGTGGCTTTCATTTCTGCTTTTAAACACCTCATTTCCAAAATGCGCACTAATTTTAGGTGAATTCGCTTTGGGAGGTCCACGTGTGGACAAAAAACTAATTTTAGAAAATATCAATCGACGCGGTTACTTGTCTTGCGAACAAGTTAACCAGAATCGATGACAGTGCATGCATTCGAATCCACCAATCCCATATTTAGTCCAAGATAATTTAAACACCGATCGAAACCGCGATTTACGAAATTCGGTGGGTGTTGTAAGGCAATCCTGATGCAGGCACAGACACCTACCTGGACCGAGAAGGTCGGAAACATCGTCGGACGGAGGTTGGAGCTCGCTTCGACACTTGGGTCCAAACGGCGTGTCGATGCAGTCCATCACACCCAGTGGACAGAAACTGTGGCCCTCGTTGGCGCTTAGTTCACACGTTCCAACACCGTCCAATTCCACGCTTGTTGGCGGATACAGCCTCTACAGAGGTCAGGGAAGGCATTCAACATGAGTTCACTGTGCTGTTACTAACTTTGATCGAGCTCAACACCACAAACATTTAAGTTGAGGCGTGGCTGCTTTTCAAAAAAAGTTGTGCTGACCCATACTACTGCATCAAGAAAGCCAGTTGCTGGTGCATGTAGGATTGCTCAAATGTGTAAGTAGTATCTTTACTTCAAATCTTGATAACTATGCACGATACGGGGTCAAGAATAAAGTATATCTTTTATTTCAGAAAGGAAAACCTTGAAACATTCATCAAAAACCTTGTACTGTTGTATGGATATCTTATCGTGTGTGAAGCATTGTCTCTAGTTTAAAATGCTCCCGATGAAAACACGAGCTATATTCTGGTGAAATGTTAGATAGACATATTACCAGCACACCTGACCAGGATATAATTCCGTTTTTAAGACTGCCTATAAAAAGACTGGTACCCAGTAAAATTTTCAAGTCCGTAATAAAACGCGAGTGTACTTTGCCAGGGAAACACAGATCCAGAGCCAAATCTTGTGCGTGGGTTCCGGGAAAATGGCAGAATGAATTCAAACGAAAATCATTTAGACGGGGAACGTTTATTCTGAAATCTCATCTCTTGGCCACAGTGCCTGATAGGATTGATCTCAGAGGCACGACAGAAATCACGTAGTGCTACCTGAGGACGCGTGAAACCAACCCATAGAGTTCGTGCAAAGCCGAAAAGCGCTTTAGCGAATTCGATGAGTTGCAGCGTCTTCGAAGTCATCGTATTAATCGATATTCTGCGAACGATTTCTAATTGGGTGGGGGATTCAGCTTGCTCTAAGGGGACATTTTCTTGCGCGACCAAACCATATAACATCATCTACTGATTGGTATTCCCGATTTTCATCGTCTGTGGGGTAAGATTTTGTGTAAAGAAGTAACGTGGATTATGTGCGCAATGTTCGCACACTGTAGAGTTCTCGGTTTCACCACAGTCAGGTCGTAGAGTTGCGTTTTCAAAATCAAGTGCTAGCAAATTTTTCTGTTAGGCAACTCAATACCAACGATAAGAACTGCTTGTGTAAATAGATGTCATGAAAACAACTAAATTTAGGAACTGGTTAGTTTCTTTTTTTTTCTGACTGTGTGAGAAACGATTGTAACAACTTAAACAAAGACTCAGTGTAACAAATGTTTGGAATTCTCTTTGCGCGATTCTCTTCACTGAGGTGAACAGCTTGTTGTTTGACCTTTACAATTAACAAAACATGAAGCTGCTTTTGCCTATGAATTTCGACTCACGCCAGAAAATGGCATGGTAGACACCAGGCTTGTTAGGTGATCACTGTCTCAAGTGCACCGCCAACAATCGAACTGCCAATCAACACCCGTAAAAACTATTTTAAAAGTGGTAAATTAGACAACAGCAATCATCAGTTGTCATATTTAGCACTGCGATGAGCCTAAAATAACATAAAGGAACTTGGCTTGTCAGGGAATTGCTACTATTTCCGGTAGTGTGGCGTGGTTTCCTTGGGACGCACCAGAAACTGGATATCTTCTCGGCTTTTTTTAAATGTCCTATTACGAGACTACAGCTGTATCAGTGAGAAATCGCAAGTCAAGCACGCGGAACACACCCCAAAAACCGCAACTCAAGCGAAGGAAAATCGGTACAGCTTAGTTCTAGATTAGTAAAAGCTGAGAGACTGGCTGTTACCCTGTTTACTCAAGTCTGCCATTCACCACGAAATAGGACCCCGTGGACGATGTTGTTTGGCTCTGAAGACTTTAACAACCGACAATGTCATTAAAAACTACCATTACTGCCCTCCAGTCGAAGGCAAGAATTCAGACGCTGTAGAAACGTTTTGGGTCACGTGGAGAAAGCGGTATTCAACTGTCTGTCCAAACCACGTAGGGCTAGAGTCTGAATGCAATTCTCAGCTCACGTGACCTGCTCTTTAAGAGAGCTATTGGTATATTCTGCCACATTGGGGGATACGAATATTGCATGCTAGGCTTAGCACTTACAGGCTTAACCTGTGAAGATAATTCATCAAACTTGAAGCTCGTAAGTCACTAGAAGTGGCTTGATTGGTCCGATTTCGGGAACGCTAAACAATTGTTCGTGTATGCACTTAAATCGGTCTGATTAGGTCATTCCATGACACAGACTGTCCTCGGCGTTCCGCAATTTGATTCGAATCGACTAATTCGCACGTGATTATCGTGCATATGGAAAGGTTTTAGCCAGCTGACAAAGCAGGAAATTGTCCTGATGGAGGGAAAATATGCAAAATCAGCTGTGGAGGCCGGGTGCTATGGTGCAAAATGTGATTTTGTATTTTTGAAAGTGTGAAAATAGTTGTCATTAGGCTTGCTCCATTCTCCAGTGAAATTCTGGGCTAAGTTGATGCAGATGTTATTTATTTACCACCAATTAAAAATCTCTGCAGCCTGATGCTCTTGGGACTGGTACAAATATGGCTCCTGAGCCTGCGCCTAAGATACATCACACAATTTCTGAGGTTCCGGAATTTTGATTCGTCGACAAATAAGCCAATCAGACTTAGGGCGCCTGGCACCCAAATTGATTTCGTGTGGTGGAGGATTGGCGTATCGTAAATGAGCACTTGCGATTCTCACTTTACTTGCCGATGTAGTTAAAAAAGATAAATTACCACAGCAAAACTAGATGTTGCGCCTGCTAAGGCAGTAAAAATTAAAGAAATCGAGGCTTCTTTGACAAGGGCCGCCATGAATGACTGCGCGCAAATCAAGCACCACATATTTCTCTGGTTAATTTGGAAAGTGACAGAGCTGAAACACTAACCCACTTATATGTCAGAAGATTAATTGCCAAAAGAAGTAGCGAAAAACGATGGCTAAACAAGCAAACTAAGTGACTTGGTGTCATTTCACACACATCTGGCGCACTAGAAATGCCAGACAAATGTGATGCCCCAAATGCCAGGACAGCACACATGCCAGATTTAAGCGTGCTTCTCTCAGTCGCAATTTCAGCAAACTATGTCAAATCTCACGTCTTACCCGTTCTTCTCCCAGACACGTCCAGCCATCTGCCTTAAAGTCTACAAAGAAGTGAAGACAGAAAACTTATTTGCTAGATGCACAAATACAGTTTAAAAAATACCTAGTGCCCTGCTTTCCAGAGAGACCAATTTTGCAGTTTATGCGGATAAAATGTTTGCGACGCAACCCAAAGCTGCCCAACTCCCACAATGAGCCCATATTTTCCAAGTATTCGACGCTCGAAAAATGCTCAATTCACTGGAGGTAAACTTGGCCTCTTCAAAATCATCAATAGATATTTTGTGCGAGTGTGAAAAAAGGCCATTTTTCGAATCTGATGTGAAATAAACCAAGGGGGTATGAAGCGAACGAGGAACAGTCAACACACAAACAACTAAGTTGCAAATCTACCAACGATCAACACCAGTGGCTCTAGCATGCTAATGAGCTAGATGAGATCACTTTGTGAGAAAGGATCAGTTGTCACTTGTAGGCAATCATTTGAAGGAGAGGCGTTGGCATGGTAACAAAAGGCGAATAATTTGTTCACGCGGGATTACCAGCTCCATTTTTCAGGTGAAATATTGTCAACCCCCTTCACACCTCCAACTTCAACTTGCAAAAATGGGGTGTGGCCGTGCTGCGAGAATGCAAAGTCACAATTAAACCACATAATTCTCTGCTCTAATGCGTGTTTCCTAACTTCGCAGACCAGTCACCGGCATCACTGGCGTTAATATCCATCTACCCACCCATTCACCCCCTAAACACTTCGAGTTAGTCGTTTATGTGAACGAAAAGACATACTGCCGTGGGTTACTCAGAGTGGAGCAGCTAAGTTAATTACTTTCTCATCGCTACAACTGTTGATACTTTTAAATGTTAATTAGAAGGTTTGTGAGGAATGCGACAGAGAGCCTGCGTTAACGTGAGACGCTTAGATGCACGCCCTTATTAGCTAATCGAGGCTACTATGGGGAATGATGGAGTCAGGCGGACATAAAAACGCGACACTACATGACCTCACAACGACTGAAGACGATTGCTAGCCATGTGTAATGCAGTGACTCGTGTTGATTCATGTCCATTGGCTCTGTCAACGAATGTCAAGTCACCGTGGTAATTAACGCCATTCAAATTTACACGTGTCCCTTCAACGTCACCGTGTCTGCGTCCCCATTGGTTGAGCATGCAGCCGTTCCTACATACCTCCCATGTACTTAGAATTATCCACAACCTTAAAATAAACGCATAAAATGAGTCTTCTTTGCTTAACGCAGCCTCCGGCCTACAATTTGGTGGCTCCGGTATGGTTTTGAAGCCTCTACACTGACACAGGCACAAATAAAGTGGCAATAAAAGGAAGCAAGTGTGCAGACGGGATCACTGAAGCTGCCTACCTTCACAGGGCATCGAGTAGCTGTCGTTGGAGCATCGGTAGCCGGGATAAAGATTTAAGCATTCGCCCTGACACAATTGCACTGACTCCGCGGCCGCCATTTCGCATTCGTTTAAGTCCGCTGAAGATTAAAAAAAAGGAGGTGGGTTAAAGGCGTTAGGGCCCAGAATCGCGGCGAGTACTATCGACCTGTTTAACGTGTTGATGCGGGCTGTCATTTTCCAAGGTCGACCAGTCAGTTAAACGTGAGCTTTTGTGGCACTAGATGAGTAACTAGTCTAGGCAGCTTAAGGCGCCACATCCCACTCTAGGGCCCCCGAATCTCCGAGACAAAAACATGGCAATTTTTTTGGCTTTTACAGATTGTAGACTTGCATTCCCGAGTAGCGTCTGGGGTGACCGTGTGCCGAGGGTCGGAACAGCCAGAAATGTGCGTAGTTTGGTGTCGCACTGGCACCTAGATGTGTGGTTACAACTCTAAACTTTGCGTTAGGCATAGGTGGAAGTGGTTTGGCAAAATTATGTCGCATTTTCCGGGAAATTCATTCACATATCAACTGTCTACAGCTTCTCACATGCTAAATGAACACCCCTTCACTGGATCATTCGTAAAACCTCGGCTACGATTTGTGTTAACGATTATCGGATTGATTAGACAAATCGTGGCTATAGAATTTGATTTTACGCCTTCAAGTCAAGTCACAATGTGTCGTGTTCTTCAAAAACCACTCCATTACTACGGTTATTAATCCGGTTTTAACGCCTATCCGTCAAACCCCCCATTCTACGACAGGCATTTCACCCACCATTTTCAAACTTTTGCGCAAACAACTCACTGACAGCTGCAGACAACGGCATTAACAGATGAAAGAAAACTCGATCGAAACGTCTAAGACTTTTTTGAATGTCTAATTTGTCTTGTTGTGAAATGATAAATGTCGTATACGGTTATACTTTCCCTAAACACAATTTATAGCGGGGTTGATCACATCCAGGGTAACCCATGTATGCACTTTTCTCTAAATCAAGATAAACTAACTTGTTCCTTCTACCGCTGATCACAAACGAATACATTTGGACGATTGTGATAAGATTTGCGCTCAAGAGGAGAGAAAACAGGTTTTGGGTGGAGAGAAAGGCGTCTCCTTGTAGCGATTGATACTTTGGAGAATTCGACACCTCTTCCACTGCCCTCAATGTGAGCCTAGTTGCAGACCACGAGAAGGCGGAAGTGGTGCGGTGAGCAGCAATTTTGATGAGAATGTTCCTATGATGCCTCACCCTTCCACAAACGGCGGCCTGTCTGTCACTCAACTCGCCTTACAACACCCGGAATCACCAACACACGTTTTATTTCACACGATTCGTACTTATTGGCACAAGACAGAGTAACTGGCACCTTCGATGGTCTTAAATGTAGTTCGCATGTGTCCACCCTGAATTTGTCACATGTTTCAGCTGCTACTCACTATTTTCGTCATCTACATAAGCACTGATACAGGAGACAGGAAAACGATTGACTGGGATTACATTTGACAGGTTAATGCTTTGTAGAAGAGGTACTTTGATGGTTGTTGTGGGGTGACCACCACGCCCAAACCACTAGAAACATATGCCCGGTGAGTTTGTCGCAGCAACCATATCAGGTGATTGCAGGCGAACGCAAAGAATCATCGTACACACCAGCTAAATCCGAAGTCCTGGTGTCAGACTAGCGGCCTAATCCCACTCCTTGCCAGGCGGACCTCGGAAAGCTTGCATTATTTACGCAAGAATGTCCTCATAACTAATGAAGAGATTATGTGCGCATTCTTTCATGGGACCAGCCAATTTTGTGGCATTTCGTCGCTCTAATTACCCTCATTACTCATTGCCTGGACATCCGGAAAAGGCCGTTTTTGTTGCCATCAGTATCAGTTAGTGCGTGTGGGGGATATCGGCTGGAGGCATGGGACATGATGTGACCGTAAAGTCGGTTAAATTAACTCTAATACGCGCGCGCATTCCTTCCTGCTACGTTGTCGCGGTTTGAATTAAGACAGATGTCAAGAGGCGACTTACATCTTACAAATACGGCGACTGAATGCACTTTGCGGTCTATGCTGACCATGCACCTAAAATCAAAACAGAAGTTGCGCAATCAGTGTTGCTGTGGTAAATTGGCAGTGTCAACTGATCTGACACCCTAGTGTCCAATCGCCACCTCGAAGGCGGGGTAATTCTGCACAGGACATCAGCGCTGGATTGGTGAGCGTGTGGTTTGGCGCAAAGGTAACCATGCGTCTCAAAACGGTGACATTTGATGGGCACTCCAATTGAGTGCTTTAAATTTGTGCTTTTCTGACGTTGCGATAGCTACTGGGTAGAGCTGAGGCCCAGGAACTGTGACTCGCTCACTTACCACCACGAGATCGCGACTCAGTGGTTCTTGCAAGCGGTTAACAGGACTAAGATTAGCTCCGCCTCAAACGCGTGACAAAACAGCATGTGGTGTGGATTTTAACAACTATTTTCGTGCTAAAAGAAGGTGAGAACAGGATCGAGTTCCCGTCGATTTCACAGGCCCTGCATCAAACACCAGTTTTTGTACTCACATCAGCCAGACCCAAGTTAAAAATAATCCGCTATACTACTGCTTACTAATCCTAGAAAGACAATTTGTGATTACACTAGAAATGTCTTCGATAGCAAATCGTTTGTTTTTTTAAAAAAGAACACAGCATTTGACTACTATAGAAATTTTACAAAAAAATGTCTTGCCTAGTGTGGAAGGATACCTGCAGTATGTAGGGCTTATCTCTGCATTCAATCATGAAGACGGTAGAAAAGAAAGTACAGGACACGAGGTGTGGAAGAAGTTAGTTGCTATACCATACAATGATATATTTTTGTGGGAAGAATCGAACGGCAGACTTAATAATGCTCAAAATTAGTTAAACACTTGCTTTTAAAACAGTGTGACTTAAAAATTATTCCGTAAGCCTTTGTGAAGTCTTCCTGGATTCTTGTTTTTTTGCACTAAACGTGAAAAATAGATTATGCCTTTTACGCGGATGTCTCGAAAGTAGAAGCACAGCGAAGATGAACATGATTGCTTTTGCTCATTCCACGTGCATGTGCTATTTCTAAAGCATGCCTGCACATCTAACCGTGAATTGGCGCAGTATGAGACAAGTTGTGTCATCACGGTGACTTAAGTGGGTGTAGCCAAGCTCACGTGACACAACAGTGCGTGTGAGTGTGTAATCGAGAGAGAGAGAAAGGGATTAACCAAACGACGCGGTGAACTCACTGGTGTCTGTCACCGTGACGTGCTCGAACGCTGTACCGGACGCCAAAGCGGTCCACGTAGCGTTTGTTCATCTGCTCGCCTGTAAAACTCGTCCCCAACGAATCCATGCTGCTGCACGAACCGTTTCGAATGACCCCCTGAAAAAGACGTTGCCAAATTATCACAGGGCCCCCCTTCTTATGAGAACATGCTTCTATTCACACGTATAAGTACAGAACTTACAGTTTTACAAATAGTAGTGTTGAAAGTCAAAAGGATTCCAGGCTTCGTAAACAGTACCACCTCAAATCGACTTTGGTCTTTTCCTGTAGGACAACAGTTAGAATGATAGGGTATTAAATACCTCTCATTAAGTGACCTTGAGCTTCGATTAATTCACCAGTGAGAGAGAATGTGCAGGTCGCCTGGTGTGTTGCATTTTCGCCGGAATAACTAGAGAAACAGGACGGGATAGATGATGATTATGAAGACCTACGTGATGTTTTCAACATCGGGAAAGACTGGGAGTAGAATTTGTTGCTCAACGCCATCAAGGCATCCAAAAGCAACTTTGTAAATAGCCTGAGAAGAGTGCCACAATTGCCGGGTCTAGAAAGGTGAAGTCTTGAAAAGTGCAAACGTACTGGCTTTGAAAGGGGGCATAATAATTCGATTGGGCGGTTGCTCCAACGTCGATAGACTGTTCGGTAGAAACTTGCTGATATTCTTTCATTATCAGTGGCGGCGGAGTCTGAAAATTTGAAGATTATTAAGAGGGTGACAATAATCTAGTTGATGAAAATTAATGTTGAACTAAGATTATTTTTGTATACAGCAGGTAATTTTTAGAAACTGACATAACAATTCCAGTAATGTGCATTGATGAAATATTTTAACACTTGCATCTGCAAAGGAATAGTTGTGTTAGGTTTAGTTCCTGTGTACAATGAATTGACTAAATTTAGACTCATGTAAGTTTGTCATCTAAAGTAACACGTGTAGTGTCAATTCTTACAAATAAAGCCACAAAGGTATCTAATTTTTCCAAAAACGAGACTAAAAAGGAATACTTGATCTCTCCATCAGGTTATTAACTTTAAAGGTAAGTACTTGACAACTTTTCAATTGGTGACATTCTTGGGAAAAAATAAACCTACAGCTATTTTATGCAAACCAAATATTCAAGTAAAAGCTGTGAAAGACCTCTAAGATAACTTTGAGATTCAGTAGTTGATTGTAAAATTTTGAAAAAAAAACTAATTAAAACATTTGAGTGCACACAATGACTCTTAAGGATGCACACGGCGAGTTGTTATGATGACAGCTAAAGGCTAAGGATCTTATTAAAAATTCCAGCAAAAACATTCAAGTTCTTTCCAGCGTATATTACGATTACGCCAAAGCAACAAACCGATATCCAGTATGGTATGGATTTTATTCGTGGCAAACGAATTATACAGTGAGCTAGTTAAAGACCCAAATAACAACGTTTGCTTGTGAGCTACATAGAACGAAAAAAAAAAATTGATTTGTATTGTTCGTACTCAAAAACATTTCATTTTCATAGAAATTAAGGATTAATCCACGCATCAAGATTAATGGGTATTAAAGAAACTATTTTACAACTAGACCATGATTTGTCAAACATGTACACTGTGGTCCATAAAACACGAATCTTATTAATTACAACACTTTACAAAGTAGTACGCAATCAAAATTAAATAAAAAAAATACACTAACTTAAGGCAAGTATTTTTAAAAAATATACGGTATTTGTTTGCATAAAATCTATTGTATTTATTAAACTTTTGTGCTATAATCAAAGAGTGATAGCACAAATATCAACCAACATAGTAGTTACACTATTTTACCCAGAAAAGACTGATAAAGACATGCTACAAAGTTTGAAATAAAGCATATATGAAATATTGAATTATTTAAATAATCGAAAACGCAAAAAAAAGGCAATACTGTACCTTGCATTAAAAAAAGTAGCAAAAGCGCGATGCAGACGACTACCCATCTGTGGAGTCCCATGGCTAGATTAATACCATCCCGATGTCAGGTAAATAGTTTAGAACCTCGGCATAATTGCTACCATTTCAAACAAAAACAGTTACCTTGAAAAATGTATTCGCAATACCATTTTGTGGTATCCAAAACTAAAATGCTTGAACAAAAGTGTTTTTACAATTTAAAATTCAACTGTATAAGATAAAAAATTGAAATTTTTGTAATGGAAATTTACTTCCATTTAAAAATGATTAAAAGTGAATTTTTCCTACAACAAGACTTTTAAGTAGAAACGTTAGTGATAATTACATTTAATTCTTTTCAAAATGTGATGCAGTAAGATTGGAACGCATATAGCTAATTCGTACCGTTCCAGTATGTTGCAGGACTAAACTGGAAGAAGGCGTCACACATGCAAGGAGCCATTTAAATTAATTTTTCGAATACGTTCTCCTTCGCAATATTTTACAAATACGATCGTGGGTTGTTACTTTGGATGTGCAATTCTTAAATAGTATGGAGACAAAAAATTCACTCCAAAAACGGCACGCATAATCATTTTAACTGAATTTGAATCGCGACATAAGCATCGTCTGATTTGATGAAACTTGCATGCTAAATATTTTCATCGGAGCTGCGCCATGAAGGAGATCGAAATTTTTCTGCAGCTTTAGCAACCCCTGGTAAAGTCAGGAATCGAATAAAAACATAACATAATTTGACCACTATTTCATTAATGTAAAATTTCCGATGCATTTCTTTAAAAAATAAGGAAGGTTCAGTTGAAAATCTGCATTTTCCATTGTCCTTTAATTTTTTTGCTCTTGATACTTCTGACAAAAATGCTTTCGAACTTAAAGAATGGAGCAAACTTTCCTTGTGTAAACTGTCCATATGTGGGGATTAGAGATTTTTCTCACGTTAGATTTTCATGTTTTTATTTTGAGGCCAAAGAGTTTTTACATTGGTTGCATGTAAGCAATTATCGGACACCATTACGTTTAGCCGTTTGCATTGTTTGTGGGTTTTCACGATTGGTCTAAATGTTTAAGTTATTTAGCATAACGATAACAGATCGTGTCCGAAATTGAATAAAAAGCTTTCGTGCAATGGGCGTTACACATATTTTCTATTTAGATGTGATTTTTAGGCGTATTTGCACTTTATATGCACGCACCTTTTTATGTATAAATTTTTACAGTTGTTGAAGATAAGTCAAATGCATGAATATGTTTTGGGTGCGCATAATTTTTTCTGTTTTCTTGATATTTTAACATGATTTGTAATCATTGCATCAGTCGGATAACAATACCTTGCACTTGTGAGTTTTGTGATAGAGTTTTATTAAATGTTATTTTGACCATTAACTTTTACGTTTGGATTAAAGGCTTTTTGTTTCCCCCTTAAATTGTGTAGGTATCGGAATTTTTGACCTTGTAACTAAATGAGCAAAATGTTTTTTTCCAATTTACTGACTTTAAATTGATAGGAATTGTGTTTTTATTAGGAGCCCTGAGAGCTGTCCTGTTGCATTCGGTCCACATACAACTATCTTTATGCAAATATTGCAATTTATTGATTACAATCTAAATTTTTCAAGTTGTGTACGATGTTTGTGTTAAAGGTCCTAGGAGGATGACCCTTAAGCCTCTTTCGGACAGCGATTTTAGCCGTCTTTTTGATGAACTTAAAGCAGAAACGACCGATAATGAAAGCAAACTTACAAAGTTGTACTATTCAAAGGGCAATTTCAGCGGCCAGCAGGCCGCTACACTTTTAAGCACCTTCAAAACTGCTCCAGAAAAAATTAGAGCCCTACGAATACTAAAACGTGTAGGTATTTTTGACAAGTACTTGGGATCACTGTAATTAGTATCTAATGCAAGTTTTATTTTAGAGGCTGTGCCGAATGAGTTGCTCAGATGGAAAGGATATCCTCGATAAAATTCAACTTACACAAAGAGACAAACTCTATGCTCTCGACTGCATCAAACAGTATTTCATCTCTTAACATCTAGTCATTTGTCCACTTTAGTACCCTCTATGATCACCAAACCATGGAGGGGACAGAATACATACTTTCCACTTTCATAAATGAGGATGACAAACTTCGGGCCCTCAGTCAGTTAACCTCAGTTTGTTGCTTGAATACTCTCACATTAGCCCCTAGATTTCATCGTATGCAAACGGTACTGTGGCTGCCGGTGGACACTTCGTGTCTGGTGGTAATGGTTCCATCTACAGTTCTGGCATCCCATTGAGTGAACATGCCTACGGTCCTGTGAAGTTGCAGCTTCGAGATAAATACGTATGCCCAATTCTTTTACATGCAAACGCATTCCTTCAATCTCATCGTCTTCGCATTGTGTTAGGTGATCTATCTGCTCGTAATCCTCAAAGTTTACTGATTTCCTATCATCAGTAGCCTATCTGACGAAATACTGTTTGCTCTATCGTTTTTCATTGACAAATCTCACCAAACATTTCTTTGACCTAAATGAATTCAATTGTCGTTACCAGAGTGGTGTGGCTAGCTATGTTGCATAGAAGAGTAGTGACATTATATTCATTTTGTTGACCGTCAAACGTATTTATGAAAGTAACCCCTGTTGGCAACATAAGATTAGTTAGTCTATCGTGACAGTGAAGGTTTTAAGACAGTGGCCAATCATGGTTAGGTGGTTTGAATTGTGAGTCATAAACAATTTGCTTAGTACAAGGTAGAGATTTCTCTGTTTATTACCCGTAGAGACAAATTTAAGACTTCTACGACTTAATTTGGGTGATTAGATGTGAGTCATTGATTTGATTGGTGGGGGGGGGGTGTGACACAGTAAGATTAATGAGATAAGGAGATTGATATACTCTAATCCGATTTTTGCACCTCATTGATCCTCGTCACAAGGGTGAATTTTTATTAATGCAACCTTTTAATGACTTCAAATAGCAACTTTTCACATTCAAACGTTTTTGGTCCACCCTAGGGCAAAGTGGAACGACTAAATTTCGCAGATACCATTAAAGACAAGCCCAATTCAATGTATACCTGCCATCCGTCGTATTCCTACGGACACAACATGGATCCGTCGTACTACAAACACGGCGGTCGACCACCCCTGCCGCCCAAACCGATTGACAGCGCAGTGACAGGGCCAGCGCACAGCCTCCACACAAAGTACCTGCCCCGCCACGAGGTGGACGGTGTTGTCTGTCACAGCCGCGGCGACCCCTGCCTTGGGGCTGAACAAAGCGGTGTCACGCCGATCGGGTTTATTGATCACAAGAAGAAGGAGGACACCAACTGCTGCTAGGACAGCGTGCGGTTCTTCACTTATGCTTGTCTGCGTAGTCGCACGTCACCGCCACTATCTTGTCTTTTGAGCTAACATTTAAGGCTAACCGCTTCACTGACTTGCATGTTCATTTGGGTACTGACAGCGATGGGCAAATGACCCGTCAACAGAGTAGCAATCTGTTTTAAATAAAAATGACGCGGGTAGGATTAGAAAGCACGACTCAGTAGAAGGCTCTGCAAGTTACTCCTTTCCTTATATTTCCATTAACTTGATTTGTAACAGTACCCGTGAAATGAATTGGTCGTGTTTTCCAGACAAAGCACCCGTCTGAAGGTTGTGATACAACGGAACACACTCAATGTAGGGAATAAATGACGCCTACTCCTCCCCTTTCCTAGTCAGACATGTCTGAAAACCGGGACAGTTGGCTAGCCATGGCCTTCTGTTAACTGAGGTGTCGGAATGCCTTCAAGGGTGTGCCAAGACAATTGGTCTGTTATGCCCCAGTGAATTAGGTTGGGGACTCTAGATTGCCAGATAGCCTCTCCCGTACACCGATAAACACTGTTTCCTCCTATAAGGGAAATCACAGGGGCTCTCGTGCATTGGCTGGAGATGCCACCTCACTTCGACGAACCACAAAGACGGGATTAACGCTCTCTAATTCTAGGCCGGCCGTCCATTGTGCAACTCCACACTGGAAATAACGGAGCCATGAGAAGCATGAAAACTGGGATTGTGTACCGAACGCGTACGCAGTAAGACGAGCAATAGCAATCGATGATTATATCAGCATTGGCATGATGCAATTAGACCTGGCCTGTGGATAAAAAAATAGAAATCGCGAGACAATAATCCACTGACCAGTGTATTAGTACAAATTCGAAGTAAATAATGCAAAAGACGCCCTCCACACAATTATCGTATGAACAAAATGATCAATCTGCCTCTAGTTTGTTTGGTGTTTTAACAAAGAAGTAACAACTATATGCAAACCGCTTCTTTCACGTTGGCCTGATTCAGCACCGCCCGGCAAATGCTCGCGTAGGTGAACGAGTCACCGTGTAGCCGTTTGATCTTGACGCCGATCGTGCACGGCTGATTGGCTACGTCCTCCGAGGAGATTCTGTTTGACGGCGCGCCTCCGTCGTCGTCAGCGTCGGCTGGACTTGGAGTTGGGTTGTCAGAGGCAACGGCTACGAGTGGAGCACGCAGCTTCGCGCCCACACCGATCGGTTTCTTATTGATCAGCAGCTTAGGTAAGCTGTACTTGCCCACGACATTCACGACTTCAATCTCAAATTTAAGCAGAGTACGGCCCCAGTCGTTCGAGAAAGTACAGGTGAATCCGTGCCTGGAAACAGAAGAAAAAGAAGCAGTGTCAGTGTTGCTGCGATTTCGCGTCCAGTGTCAACGTGGGTGAAACCTCAAAAGGCATCATCTCAATCGAAAAGTCAATTAGTGCCAAAAAAGATGTTTGGACTGGTGGCTGCGGACAACACCAACAAACCTCCGGAGGCACCGCTAAGAGAAAAAGTGGTCGACGACGCCCTACATGGTGGAGGAGCTCATTTCTGTTCATCTCTACCAATAGACTTGGCAGCTTCTCCTACAAAATATTTTGTTAACAGATGAGCTTTGTTCCTGTTGCTTGGTCTCCGTGACAATGGCACGATAAATAGTGTTTTAAGTGTGCTAGATGGCTGTCACAATACGCACGCAACACTCAACATGGAATGGAGTCCTACACAAGAAGCAGGAAGACACCTCAAGTGGGTTTGATGGACCCGCAGGGCAAGAATTTTGAGAATGAGGGAGGACTGTGGCTAACCCATGTCCCACCTAGAGGGTGATAAAGGCCACCCACCCTTCTGCACCGCACTAACAACTTTTAAAAAAATTCCATTGCCTTTTGAGTGTGAACCGGATCGAGTTGCTGCGGAGCGACTCGGAGATTCGTTCCAGCACCTCGGTCGCAGACAATTCGGGTCGTGCTAACATGACATTGTCGCCGGCCCGGACCTTGCGCAGTTTGCTGGTGGGTTTGGAGGCCGAGGTGCGTCCAGCAGAAGTGTTCTTCCTTAAAAGCATGTGCTTGAAGAAACCGGCTCCGCCAACGCTGCCACCGGGAGATGCTCCGGACGGCGACTGCCGGCCTGCCTTCAAGTGGTCGGCTCCTGACACGGCTAGGAAAGGGATGCGCAAAAAAGTTGTGACTAGAATTAAAGAAGACATCGCCGTTCCGCGACAAGGAAACTTAGCTGAAGTTCTCCTGATTTTCCTAGCCCACAACTAGGTCGGAAATCGAACAGACCTTCAATTCAGAAGGCCGGCGACTTGCGGATGATAGTCCTTTTCACAAAAGATTAGTCCATGGGCAAATCAAAATTGGACTTATTGCGTGTGCTACACTGTAAACCTGCATAACAGCTAATTTCGATCGATTTCAGACTAGATCAAGGATTGAAGAGATAAGGATACGATTGGGCGACTCACAACTCCCAAAGGACTGGCTAGAGTGAACCATCATTTCGGCGGAGTCAACGGCATAGTAACGCGGGTCGGGAGGGCGGTCTAGACTGTTCAACTCCACCGAGCTATCCTCACTCTTTCCGTCGTCCAGACGACTAATGTGGTCAAACTGCGCCGACGGTGGTCGGGATCTGGCAAGAAAGACACAGCGAAACTGTCAGCGGGGACTTCCCTCGCACATTAAAGCAATACTGCTTAACAGGGTAGATAATTCAAACCATCATTAACCGATGCCCTTGCTTCGAATTTAAAAACATCGGTTACAACTGCACTAGGGATTCCATATTAACATCATTTAAATGTGTTACAATTTGACAAAATCTTCCCTCAGACTGGAGCAACGAAAACAAATGCAACTCACATTGCGTCCGGCTCGCTACGACGCAGACCCTTGGTCAGCTCGTTAAGTTGGGAGTCGATGGATCGACCGGGTGAGAGGGCCATAAGTTTTGGTATTCTTTGGAGGGGAACTAATGAGGGCGCCAAAACAAAAACAACACAGGAATGATTCACAGTCGACAAAGCATCAACGCACGAGGCGGGTAGAGTGGCGTGTGCACAAAAAACCTCGGAACTTGCCTTCATTTGTCAAGGGAGTCTGTGAACCTGCGCTTTTGGCCGCAATCGAGGCACAAGTCGCGGGAAGAGGAGGAGGCATGAGGGCATCCACGCCTGGCATTTCATTCATATTGCACTGAGTGGCCTTTGGAAGTGCGAGCTACAAGAGGTTGGCGTCGATTATATTCGAGGTCTTCGAGTGGTTTCAGTTTCGGGGTGCTTTGACGCGTCCACG